TGAAACTGCATAGACTGAAGATCTTCGACAATCCGATAACTAGCTCCAACAGTCTGCTGAGATTCTACTTTGGACGATGAAGCAGTGGCATCAGTAGAATGCAAACTATCAGGCAGAGGGAGAGACTGAACCAAGTCGACGGAGTTACTGGGGCTGAATGGCTGTTGATGTGAGGGTGAAGAATGTTGCAACAGAAGGAATGGAGAGGCAGGTGCCTCTTGGCAGGCGACTCCAGGAGCAGAGCTACTAATTTCGCTACCAATACTGTCACCACCCCCATTAAAGGCTGTACCCCCTGCAGCTCCTCCACTAACATTGCCTATTCCAGTTTTAAAAGAAGAGAATGGAACGGTAGCAGCAGGTCCCGGTAGGGCAGGGAAGCCAGAGATATCATCAGCCAAGACAGACCAGAGCGGACGAAGCTGTTTGAAAATGACAGTGTAAATAAAATAATAAAGATTTGGGAAAGATAAATTGTAACATAAATAATAATTGAAGCTGGTGATATCAATATTGATTATATTTGAATTAGTAATCAAGCCACAAGGTCATATTTAGCAGAAATAAAGGTAAATTGCACATAACTGAACACAGATTGCGATTCAATGAAGGCATAGGTATAAAATCCATCACATGGGTTGGCAAGTCACGATTTTTTTACTTCAAAGAATGAAGGCCTGGAGTTATTCAGTCAAAGACAGTATACGTGATGTTGGAGCACCTCTCATTTCGTTTGAAGAGGCGAGTGGAAGCTATTCATAAGTTGACCTACAGCAAGCTATAGGGTGATTGCTATGGCGCCAGGATTGTAGATTTGTGCTAACAGGTCCTCGGCGCACCGACCTGCAACCATGATGAATCCTTGCTGAGCTTGCGTTCGTCATGTCACAAACATCGTTCTAACAAGACATTATTCTTGTCTTTGTGTTTGTTGAATTATCGTAAATCATGGTGTGCTGTTCTGACGAGGTCTGTCACATGACGAATGAAAGTTCAGCAAGGATTAATCGAGGTGGTAGGCGGTGCGCCGAGGACCTATTCGCACAGATCTATAATCCCAGGTCCACGGCAATCTCCGTACAGCTTCAGGTGATACCGACTTACGAATCTCTTCCACTCGCCTCTTCAAACAAAATCAAAGGTACTCCAACGTGAATTTATTAAGGAATTCTGCGAAAACCAGTTTTTCTACAAGTATACGTGATATTCGAAGACATAATAAAAATAAATGGCTAGGCAAAAGTAAATAAAAATGGCAGTATAAAACAATTGTACGCAACAAATCTATACTTAATTTGGGAAGGTAGCCAACAATTAAGAAAAACAAGGGCAGTTCGAAATATACCTCAATTCTCATATTTACATAGCAAGGATGCTAAAGAAGAATAGGAAAAATATGGCAATCAATGCTCATGCTAGATATTTTGATAGAAACTGCAGCAGCAGAAATAAAAACGAAGATAATAAACACGCTAGAGTAAATATTAGGTCTGACGGCTTTGCTAGAGTTCCAAAAAGTACGGCAGTGAATGCTTCTTTACACTTTACTACCTTAAATAATAAATGTTCACCTTATTTAGTTTATAGTAATAAAGAAACGGGAGTTGAATTTTCCCACAATTACATGAATAGGTCTGACGTTTTCATTGGATTCCATATAGCTTTCCCTCTCAAAATGTATTCTTTGGGACAGGAATGAGTCATTCCACTTTAGATTCTCAAGCCAGTATAAAAGAACTGCAAATAAGAGCCTTTATCCCCAATAAGACTCAGGCAGAGAGGAATGTGGATGGTTGACAGAGCGGAAAGTCAAGATTAGGCATTGGATCTGATTCCTGAAATAATAAATTAGGTATCAAGTCGAAAATTAACAGACTATTAGGATTGCCATCTAGAAGTCCGAAATAAAGTATACATTAAGCATGGAGTTGAGACAAAATCGGTGTACTTAGAAGATGAGCTGACTCATCACAGCTTTATCTGTATATGCCAATCAAGGGAAAACAGGTAACTTCCTAAAGTGAGTGCTTGTTTACTTTCATAGTATCCCTAGAGTTTCGATAAAAGATAAAGGATGAATCAAACAAAAAAATATTTGATACAAACGGCGGTCTAACATCCAGTTTTATCAATATAAAGAAAATGAGAGCGTATTGGCTTTATATTGATGCAAAAAGCATTAAAAAAATTGAATTTTACCATTGATAAATGTCAACAAGCAGACATACGGATTACTTTATGTTACAATTCTACATAAAAATTTAGTTTGGAATCACTAGGTAAGACAAAAATAACATTTTATGCAATCCCTGATGTGATGGACAACTGACCTCAGACATTACGTCACGAAACATTTCGCCGGCCATGCGATGAACTTCATGGTTCGTATTATTATACATTCGTGCGTTAA